AAATCAGCGTGTGCTGTTGTAACTCACCTTTCTTCTACTTTCTTGACTCTATGGAGGAGGGGAAGCTAAGGGATAGACTGAGAGAGGTGGGCCTGGAGAGGCTTACAAATGGGAGCAGGAGTTTCACGGGAAGGGTGGGTGGGACACAGCACCAAGTGGCTGCTCACTTTGTAGTACGAAAAGACAAACTGAGTTCCAAAGTACTGTCAGCCCCTAGCTCCTGTTACTTCACAAAGTTCAGCCAAAGAGTAATCAAACAAGGTCCTTTGAAATAGAATCGTTAATGTTTCTTCTAGGAAGAAGGCCATCATCCCTTGGCATGTGCCTGGGAAGTTTAAGCTTCTAAATTATAAAGAAGAGGAATGAAAACAAATTTTTTCTGGGTGATCAATAGCACTTACAGGCTGCATGAGAATGTGCATATGTGTGTGTATGTGTGCACATGAGTGTGTATGGGTGTGTATGTGTGTGTTTTGGGGTATAGCCTCCCTATATAACCCAATAATTTAATTTGACAAAAGGAGACCCGACATTCAAGGTTAGGGTGAGGGTTGTTTTCAAAGAAGCCAAAATTCCTCAGATTTGGGGAACCTCCTGAATCTCTACCCCTGAACATAGCAGTGGCCTTGGATGTCGGCTGTGTGGGTGCTTTGTGAGGAGAGGAGTTTACTCAGTTCCACTAACCAATAAAACAGGGCTTCATGTTGGCCGGTTAAGCAAGCTACCAGCACTTGCTCTTTCCTGATAGCACCTTTCCTGGGTAAACAGGACCCAGAGGAGCAGCAGGGCCCTCCCGGAGGAATGTACTGGCAGCACTGAAAAGATCAGAGTTACCCAGCAATCCCATTACTAGGTATATACTGAAAGGATTATAAATTGTTCTACTATAAAGACACATGCACATGTATGTTCACTGTGGCACTGTTTACAATAGCAAAGACTCGGAACCAACCCAAATGCTCATCAATGACAGACTGGATAAAGAAAATGTGGTACATATACACCATGGAATACTATGCAGCCATAAAAAACGATGAGTTCATGTCCTTTGCAGGGACATGGCTGAAGCTGGAAACCATCATTCTCAGCAAACTGACACAAGAACAGAAAACCAAACACCGCATGTTCTCACTCATAAGTGGGTGTTGAACAATGAGAACCCATGGACACAGGGAGGGGAACATCACACACTGGGGCCTGTTGGAAGGTGGGGGGCTAGGGGAAGGATAGCAGGGGATGGGGGGATGGGGCAGGGATAACATTAGGAGAAATACCTAATGTAGATGACGGGTGGATGGAGGCAGCAAACCACCATGGGGTGTGTATACCAATGTAACAATCCTGCATGATCTGCACATGTACCCCAGAAGTTAAAAAAAAAAAAAAGGAAAAAGATCAGAGTCTTCAAACAAAAACGCGCCAACATTTCCATTCTCAGGTCTCCATGTTACACAGGGTTCTAGGTTTACAGAAATACACCCTCCGTTCCCCAAATACAAAAAACATCTAAACAAGGCTGGGCTTGACAAAGTGGTATAAACCCTTGACAATCCAAGAATGGTTCTTGGCATTGCGTAGGTTTGTAAAAACCCAGACCAAAAACGGAATCTGAATTTAACAAAACCCCCAGTGATTTGATACACACTGGCCAAGCATCTCCTAGGCACTGTGAGAACTTCCGCCACTGGCTAACAGCCCCAGCTCCATGACTGCTCTCAACTTCTTTGATACTCCTAGACCATCATTCAGAGGAGCTGATGTTTTTTGAACATCCTTGATTTTTAGGCAAACACGAACCCTGTAGTCTCAGAGGGGAGCCTTAGTTTTTTCTCCTATGGTTCTAAGATAAATTCATTTTCTCAAAATATTAAAAGGAGGGGAAAACTGTACATCATTTTCTATGTGGTCTGTTGTGTGACCGTGAAAGAAAACTGACCTCAGACTTCCCAAGGATGATGCAAAAATAAATCCTCTGCTGAGCTCCAGGACATAGAAACAGCCGGTGTCCCTGTTGACAGCCTCTAACTTCCCAGGGGCTGGGAAAACCGCAGGAGGAAAGCCTGGGATTAGCCCTTTTCCAGGCTGTCCTTCCGCACGGCATCCAGGTCAAGAGAGTCCTCATGAGGCAAGCGCAGATATGCAGCTCCCTCTGTCCTTTAGAAGGGCCACGATACTCACAGAAGGTCCGGATGATGTCGCTGGGCCAGCTCCGGGGGCTTGGGCCATGGGAATTCATTGCCCTCACGGCAAACTGGTAGTTGGTATCTGGATCGAGGCCCTTGATAACCATGGAGTCCATCTGGATCCGCTCATGGATTAAGGTCCACCTCTTGTCGAAATCTGGCCTTTATTGATTAGAAAAAAAAGAAGCAGTAGTTCAGAAATACCAGAGGAAAGGGAAGCTAGCTGGCTGTGTAAACTAACGGTATTTGAACTCTGGGAGCAATACTCGTAAAAGTAAGTTAACATTTCCTATGTGAAAGTCATCCTGATTTGAAATCACAAGTCATCATTTGCAAGTCCCTGCTGATAAAAATGTAGATTATTTTCAGGGTCGGTTTTAAACGCTGCTTAAAGACCATCCGCTTTTCCTTGCAAGGCCCTCCATACGATGAAAAGATCTTCACATAGGAATTCACTTTCAAGGACTCTGCCTTCCAGATGTTTCATAAACAATCCTCCCTTTGACAGTCCCCATCCCCGGAGGTCAGAAGAACGTAGATTCCATCTATTCACAATCTGTTCACAAAATAAACAAATACAAGTTTTATAGGGTGACTAATTGCATGATTGCCATGGGAAAACCCAAGAAGAATCTGTTCACGGACATTTTTAGTCTTAACAAATTATACAACTATGCCAACTTGTGCTGAATTTTTACATGTCCTTTGGAGGATCCTACAGAGAAGGCAGACCTTTGCTTGGAGCTCCCATGTGGCAGGTAAATACAGAAGGTGGGAGGATGAGCTCTGGAGTTCAAGCCCTGACTCTTCTACTTACTAGCTGCTACTTAATTTCTTAAGACTCAGTTTTCCCATCTGTAAAGTGGGAATAATAAAAGGACCTACCTAAGTAAACTGCCATGAAGATCAAATAAGATATGTATCTCCAGACTAGTACCTGGCATCAAATTGTAAATACTCAGCAGGTACCAGTCAAGGGACTTATTCATAGAACTATTAACTTACAGCTGCCTGCTTCTTGTAGACCTGCATGATCCAATATGGTACTCCATGTGGTACCCCATGTGGTAGTCAGCACTTGAAATGTGTCTGAATTGAGATGTACTACAGTGTAAAATGTAAAATGTAAAGAAATTTAAAGAAAAAATATGAAATATCTCAATAATTTTTATATGGATTATATGTTAAATGAGTATATTGTGGATACAGCAGGTTAAAATATATTATTGAAATTCATTTAATTTCTTTCTTATTACCCTTTAAATGCCACTCTTAGAACATGTAAACTTTCACATAGGCTTGCATTGCATTTCTACTGGATAGCGCTGCTCTACATGGACATCCTAGTTGGAGGGTAGAAAAAAGAGCATTCCAGGTAATAAGAACTACAAGATAAAAGTGGGAAATAATTGTACATGGCCTGAGGACAGTGTGAATGGCCTAAGAGGTTTTGTGTTAATGGCTAATAACATCAAGGGCTTTCCACCTGCCAAGCACCATTCCAATACCTTAACTCATTTACTTCTCACAAATGCCCTATGCAGTAAGTACTAACATTAAACACCCCCACCTTTTTTTTTTTTTTTTTTTCAGAGAAGGGAACTAAGGCACTGAATGGGTAAGTAACTTGCTCAAGGTCACATAGCTGATAAATGGTGAGGCCAACCTGGATTGGTAAGATGAGGTTAGATTTAGAAGCCCCTTAATACTGGATGGAAAACTGGAGTGATGGCAGGTGAGAGGCTACTTCCGATCCCTTTGCTCGCTCCCTGCCCACCTCTCAGGTGTTCTGTTGTTAAATGCCTCTGCTCACAGATATTTAGGGGAAGGCAGGAAACAAAAAAGTTCTGTTTGTCTTTGATGAACAACTTGCCAGGCAAGGAAATAGAGACTCATTTTGCTAAAAGAAGATGTCGGGGTGAACAGCAGATCTCTTTATCATGAGCTCACCCAGTTTTTCATTAGCAGGAATGACTAAAAGCCAGACGGAGTCCTTACACCCAGTAAATGATGTTTCCTCAAACTCAGAGAACTGGGGGTAGTGTGTTAATGTGTTTGGAAAAGCAGAGTTCACAGGGTAAACCCACGGAGGAAGTAGGGCTGGTTTCTCTTTCCTGATATTCTTTCCCCAAAGATGGAATTCTCATGTAAACTAACTTTATCATCAAAGAGAAAAACCCATGAGTAGAAGGAAGCACACTTACAAACTCAAATTAGAACAAAATCACTTTGCAGAGGAAAACCACAGGGGATACCTAAAAGTAAATTCAGAAAAGATATGATCTTTAGATAAAACTCTCCTGTTATCCTTTGCTAAGCTTCCCTTGTGATATTTAGAAGGAAACAACCCGTATCTATTCTCAGAGTATGCTGTTATTTACCCAGGACTACCCACAAATACCTGCAACAATCTTCATGTAAAAACCACAGCAAAACAAAAAGGAGATTATTTTGTACATGATGCCCATTAAATGCAGAAAAGAAAAACTCTTATTTCCAGCAAGGAGATTGAAATCATTAGCATTTATTTTTATTCTATAGAGCGAGAGAGACGAGCTCATGCAGATTGAATGCCACTTCAAAACCTTTAACATTTTGCCTCTGATTTTGTCATGAGTTTTTTATTGGAATGTTTTTAGAGTCTCTAAGTACAAAAGTACAAAGGTGAGGTTGAGAAAGAGATGACCAGGCAAAAGAACTGTCTTAAATCATCCCCAAAAACATCTTTATCTTTTTTTGACTAAAGAAAATTACTTTATCCTAACTACAAAGTTGTTGGTCAGATCACCATAGCAACACTATCAAGTTGACTGAGAATGGGCTGCCACCCCCCAGGAACAGATGGACAACTGGCTGGGCAGGGTGGCTCAAGCCTGTAATCCAGCACTTTGGAAGGCTGAGGTGGAAGGATGGCTTGAGCCAAGGGGTTGAAGACCAGTGAGACCATCTAACTTTGCTTAATTAAAAAAAAAAAAAAAATAGCCAGGCGTGGTGGTGCACACCTATAATCTCAGCTACTAGGGAGGCTGAGGTGGGTGGATCGCTTGAGCCCAGCAGTTCAAGACCAGCCTGGGCAACATAGTGAGACCTTGTCTCTGCAGA